GAACCAGAGGCTCTGGTCGTGAGACCAGAAGCTCTGGAAGAGAGACTAGAGGGGCTCTGGTCCTGTGTTGGAATATTTTCTGTGGCTAAGAACCAGAGGCTCTGGTCGTGAAGACCAGGAGCTCTGGAAGAGAAACTAGAAGGACTCTGGTCCTTGTTATGGAATTATTTTCTAAGTATGGTATACAATTAGAAGGGCTCTGTCGATACAACCACAGAGGCTCTGGCCCTAAAAGACTTAGGAGCCCAGAGGCTCTGTCAATGCAACTAGAGGCTCTGGCCGTCCACAGAGGCTCTGGCCTTCTTCCAGACTTGGGCGTTTTAAGATATATAGCTAGACGATACACCTTATATCGGAACTCACGGTTCCTATAATTTTAATTGATGTGAGGAACGTTTTAAACATAGTTGACCAAGGTTGACCTTAGTCGACGTAGTTGACCGTAAGTTGACTTTTATGTTAGCCTTTGGGAGAAATTAATCATTATATGTTATTTGCTATTATAAATTGTAGGTTGCCAGTCAGCGACGTTAGTTAAGCAATCTACGGTGTCAGGTGAGTCTTCATGAGATTTCACTGGGATGCATACCTAAGAACAAATTATTTTTATATGATATGAATTTCTGATGATGTGTACGTATGCATGATGTTTCAGTTTACATGCATGTTATGATATATTTTACATGTAYGCTATTTTATGAATGGTTACATGCTATGTGTTTAATCAGTTTTCAAATAACTCTAGCATAGTATTCCATATTAAAAGTTTGATGATATAAGGGTGGACATTTGACCAGTAAGTCACGACCAATATAAAACACTATCCGGACAAGTGGGTGATCAGTTAAGATTGAAATATCAACCCAGGGTGTGTTTGTGACTAAATGACCCATACCTGACTAAACGTTATACGAGATCTCATATGTTCAGTATCTTACAGATATATTTCTTTCAGTATTGGATGTTTTTCAGAAAATGCATACTATTTGGTACAAAGTTTACAAGTTGATATGTATGATGTGAAATGATCTTTACTCACGCAAACCATGAACTCACTGAGCTTTATAAGCTGACTATAGTATGCATCTCAGGGCCAGGAAGTTCGAAGTTGGATAAGGGCAAGGGACTCGCGTAGAAAGTTACTAGTTATTATCTTATCTTTAGTTTTGTCTAGCAGCGTTGTACTAATCTATTGTAACTTAACCTGGTATGAAGCGGGTTAGAACTTAAGTTAATTTTTGGTGATTCAAAGACCTCCGCTGTAAACGATTTGAACGGTGATATTTTAGCCATCTTTTGGAATATGTATTCAGGAAATGGTTTCAGGTTACGTGACATTCTCAAAAAAAAAAATGAGGGTGTTACAATTGTGTTCTAATAAAATATTTAATTATTATCTTTATAAAATATTATATTATTAAACCCAAAATAAAAAAATGAATTAAAAAATATACAAAAAACGAGAAATTTTAAATAGTTAGATTGTGACTAATATAAAAAAAATTCAATTTTTTATAATATCTTCATATTTATATTTTATTCATGTTTAATAACATTATTTTTCTCAAAATCACATAAAACCGTATTATAACATCGACTGAGAAAATAAATAAACAAACAAAACATTAAAATCAATATGTATCTCCTTGCATTGTGCGAATAACCTTCTAGTACATTTTAAATGTGTTCTGCTACACATCACATGTGATTATGTTTTTTCATTATTTTTCTTTTTTCAATGTTTAGTTTAAATCAATATTTTTAAATTTTAAATCAACATACGATTAGAAAATCACGTATGATTACGAAAATTGTAAATAAAAATCTTAAATAAACTACAATGATTATTAGTGCATTATTTATGCATATGATGCTTTGATTGTTTTTAGAGGAATTTAATTATTTGTTAATTTAATATTTTATTTGTTTCACATTTTTACTTGGTCACTAACTTTTTTTTCATTAACCTGGATTTTCAACCCGTTATGCGAGCCGATTAATCTCAGTGTGACCACCTACTTTGCAAATAGTTCGGACTCACCGTATTTGAACCTCCATGGCCACAAGGGGATTTTTATTCTTCCTTAGATTTGAACCTGAGACCTCCAGGTACTTTCAACCTTTGGAGCCAAGCTCAAACCAATCAGGCACCACCGTTGTGGTTGACTTTACTACTTACTAGTTAGGGGTAAACGACTCCTCAACTCAAGTCCTAATAGCAACCCTAATTAAGAGGCCGTTTACTAAACGCTTACCCGCTAAGTACTTAATGGATAATTTTTCTCGCCGGATGAACATGACAAGCACCAAGAATTTTACCCGGTAAGAACGATGATAAGGATGAAGAGTCTTACCCGGTAAATGAGGGTGATGACTCTTACCCGAATAAGCGCTTACCAGGTAAATTGTTGTATAGGATAGGTTTTGATGTACTATAATCTTACTCAATAAAATAAATTATAGTGTTAGACTCCTAACATTAAACACTTACCGAGTAAGCATTTAGGTAAACGACGCCTTAAGTCTCTAACTCGTTAATCAGCCTCCTCAACTCAAGTCCTCATAGCAACCCTAACCCTAAGTCCTCATTATTTGAACAACCGATTATACTCATGTTAATGAATTCGTAATTGTAACTTCAACTTTTGAGATGTTGGTACAAAACCATACCAACATAGACCAAAAAAAAAGTGGTACCAAGTAGAGTTGGTTGGTACATGATATAAATTCGTGTATACCAATTATAATTGATTAATACCCAGTATTAAAAAAAATGGTATCATACCATATTCACCCCTAATGATATGAGTAAAAACAGGGTATGAATAATAGTCTTGATTGTTTCTACCATAAAAATAATTCGAGGAGAGAGAAAAAAAACCGTTGATGCATATTTTCTACACTATTTAATTAATATGATTGTGAAGTATTTATTTTATATCATTTCTAAAATATTTTTTTTATATTGTCATAAATTATTTGAAGGTCTAAATTCTACAAATGGCATCTTAGGGACCGTTTACAAAATGGTTATCTGCATAAATATTTATCGGTAAAATACAACATTATCACTTACTTATCGTGTAAGATTTTAATCCACCAAAATGGTATCAAATACAACAATGTATCGGTAAGGTAAGAGTTATTGCTTTCACTTATCGGGTAAGACTCTCGGTACTTGTTTTTCTCTTACCAGGTAAGATTCTTTGGTACTTACTATATTTATGCGATAAAATAATGTTACTTGATAAATGCTTACCTAGTAAATCTTCAAAAAAAGGGTGAAGGTTATTTACGAAATTAAAATTGTTTTATTTATGAATTCTCGTTTTAGGACGATGACAAATCATAAAAAAAAAAAGTCTTTTTAATAGAAAAATAAAGTAATATTTTATACAAATAGCAACTAAGTAAGGGACCGTTTACCTAAACACTTATTTGGTAAGTGCTTAACGGTAAATTTCAATTCTATCTTTTACTTATTGGGTAAAATTTTAGTCTACCAAACGACATCATATATAATAATTTATCCAGTAAGTGCTAACCGTGGTAAGAGTCGTCGCCATCACTTACCGGGTAAGACTCTCAGTTCGTGACTTCACTCTTACTAGATAAGATTTTTGGTTCTTATCATATTCATCCGGTAAGGGAATGTGACTTGATAAGCGCTTACCCGAATAAGCATTTGGTAAACGGCCTAAATCTATAAAAAGTTAAAGGTTATTTAATATAAAATTTACTTTATTTATGAAAATTGAAATTTCTCCTTTTGGCGATCAATCAAAGTGATCTTTTTTTGGGACAACGACGGACATATATTATTTTGGGAAATTTCAGTTTCTATGCTTACCGTATAAATGTTTAAGGATGGTGATTTATCTCAATCTGAACGAAGACGGGGATTCCCAGCTAAAACGAGTCCCGGGGTCGGAGATCCCCGGTAGGCTCAAACCGGGGCTGTTACTCAAACCGAGGTTGGGGCCGGGAATCCCCGTTAAACTCAAACTAACGGATAATCTTCATGGGGTTTGACCAAGACCGGGGTTTGACCGGGGACGGGATATTAATCCCTGTACCTGTCGGGGCTCAGGGCTGTTATTGAAAACCAGGGTCAGGGCCGGGGATTACAAAACCCACCCAATCCCCGTCCCTGTTGCCATGCCTACCAATAATGTTAAAATAATTTGATTGGTTTAAATAAGAAAATGAGAATAGATTTCCACCAAATTTAAATTGGTCTCCTAGCCATTCCTCTTCCAGCTTTACCCAAATGTCACTACGTCCTACAAAATCCACATCTACGATATTGCGGACCTGGTTAAAAGACAAAAAAAATTCAAATTCCACCAGGTTAGCAAGTGGCACCGTTGTAGTAGCGGACCTGGCCGTCCCAATTGAGTATCTGGGTTGAATCTAATAATTTTTTTCTGTCTTTCAGCCAGGTCTGCAGTATTGCGGATGCGGATATTATGGACGAGGTGACATTTGGATAAACTTGTGAGAATAATAGGTAGGAGACCAATTTGAATAGATGGAATGACTATTTGAGTCAATTTCCCTAGATTTGTATATGTCGGTTCGCATGCATTTTAAGATAGATTTTTCAGATTCTTTTCAATGAATTCACATATAAATCTTTTTTTACTACTTTTGGACGATATTTAGCGTTTTTATTGAACTTTTCTCTGTTTTTTATTATTATACTCTCTTAAATACATGTTTAGAATTGTTTTCATTTGAAGCTTACCTTTTTCTATTAACCTAGTTACCTAGATATCCAACCCGCTATGCGAGCCGACTAATCCCAGGGTGACCACCTGCTTTGTAGATAGCCCGAAGTCACTGCATTTAAACCTCCGTGGCAACAATGAAATTTTTATTTCTCCTTGGATTTGAACCGGGGACCTCCAGGTATTTTTGACTTTTAGAGTCAAACTCAAACTAATCAGGCATCACTCTTGTGGTTATTTGAAGCTTACTTTTAACATATATTGTATTGAATTCCTCTCTCATTTACTTTATCAACAAAAATTACAAAACATTTTTTATGTTCATCTTGATCTTCAAGTACTAATTTTTCTATGTTTAACTTTGAATATAGAGTGAATCACATACTTGGTCTTTTGTGAATACCTTTTCTTTTTGGTTTTTCATCCCTCGAAATTATAAAATATACTGGTGTATAAAAATTATGTTTCAGAGTCCAAACTAGTCCTTCCTTCTAACATCGTTCGAACGTGCTCCGTTAAGTCAGTCATGTGCCCTTTATGTGAGGGGCATTTTAGTCATTTTACCCTTTCTCTTTACATCCCCTTCTTTTTTCAACCAGAAGATGCACCACACTACTGCCACTCCATACCACCACCACCACTGCAACCTACCTCCCACTATTTTCATGAAACTAAATCAAGAAAGGGAGAGGGACAAGGGGTTCACTGTGAAAGGGGAGGGGAATGTATTTCGCCAGAGAAAGAGGAGGGCAGTTGGTCGAGCGTTCAACGGAATGAGCATCTTTCAACGACAAAAAGGGAGAAGGGATTATATACTATATTTATTCATTATATATAAAGTATAAAATATTGATTTGTGTTATTCTTTTGAGAAAATAAGAAAACAGAGGAAATGACCAAAATGCCCCTCACATGAGAGGCATATGACTGACTTAATGGAACATGATCTAACAGTGTTAAAAGGTGGGACTAGTTTGAACTCCAAAACACGATTTTTGCACCCCTAGTATACTTTATGATTTCAATTAAAAAAAAAGGTATTAAGAATATTATATCGATGTTTGAGCCCATAAAGTTTACTACGAAAATGTAAATGAAAGATTGAATTAAAGCATTTTTTGAAAATCCATATTACCCTTCCCATGCATATGAATCAAGTTTTAAAAACACATATTTTAAAAATCTAAATTATCCTAAATATAATTAAATTTTTAACCAAACAAATTTTATAAAAAAAGTGTTTTATTCTCTTTAATTTCGATATCCATATCAATATCTTTTTCCCAATCTTTTTAACTGCATTTTCAAAATTTTAGTTACGGATATATTCATACGTAATACATTTAGGGAAATTGACTCAAGTAACCATTCCACCCATTCAAATTGGTCTTCTAGCCATTCCTCTTTCGGGTTTACTTAAATGTCACTATGTCCACAATATCCACGTCCGCGATATTAAGGACCTGGCAAAAAGACAGAAAAAATTATTAGATTCAACCATGTATGCAATTACGACAGCCAGGGCCGCAATTGCGACATTACCACTTGTTAACCTGGTAGAGTTTGAACTTTTTTGTCTTTTAGTCAAGTCCATAATATTGCAGATGTAATGACATTTAGGTAACCAGGAGAAGCATGACCAATTTTAATGGGTGGAATAGCTATTTAAGTCAAATTTCTTATATTTACCATATTATAAAACATTTATTTCATTATCTTAAAATCTCTTAAAAATTTAAGTTTACAATCGAATACGTAGACGTAGAACTTCTTAAAGCTCCTCCTTTATACTCTATAAAATTAATTTGTAACTAACTAATAAATATGTTCAAATAAAACATAAGTGTAAGCCCTACCAATACGTCATAAATATTAAGAGTTTTTCGTGACCAATTTATGTTCATTGATCAACTTTATAAGCTAATGATCTAAAGTTGTACGGTGACAATTTTGTGATTATTGAAAAGTCTCATGGCAATTTTGTGATTATAAATGTTCAGATTGTAGATTTAATCCAATGGTTGAGAATTGATCTTACGGATCTCACGAAAAACCCTAGGTCTCACATGATCCCAAGTATATATATATATATAACCAGGGTTGGGTTCACGTGAGACCAGACTGTTTTCGTGAGACCACATTTTTACACTTGAAACTTCACAGCAAAAACATTGTGAAGGTTTAAAAAAGTCAAACCTTCACAGCAAAAACACTGTGAAGTTTCAAGTGTAAAAAAGTGGTCTCACGGGTCTCACGAAAACAGGTTTATCTCACGTGATCCCAAGTCTAGTTAACCAAAAACTTCTTTCGCATTCTTAAAACAATACAAAATTATAAAATGAAACTAAAAGTGAGAAAATAAAACGAAGCAATGAAGTAAATATGATAAACAAAATATTACTATAAATAAAAAAAATAATATTATTTATTTTTGGTAAGAAAGATACATTAAATAAATAATTTATAAACTTTTGTTAACTTCGATGGTACAATGAATCATTTTTTAGTGACAGAAACCAGGAGAGGAAAGCAAAGAAACCTAAAAAAGGAATTATACCATGCTTGGTCAATTCTGCCAAGTATTCTGTGTCTGCAACATCCACCCCACCATCAAGAAGCCTTCTATTACAAACCTACAGCTTTGATCACATAAACATTAGTCTATAAATTCAAATCAAAATAAATATATCTTAATGAAATTCACCTCAAAATCATCATCACCTCTCAATCTTCCTCTGCTTTTTGAAAATTATAATGCCACTGCTCACTCTTCACAATCTAAAACTGGAACTCCATAGCCACCATGAAAAGCCACTATGGAAGCTCCCTTCAAGATTGTCCATAACAAATTCCCAGAGACCCGAATGCCAGTTTTCGCATTTTTTGCCAGCGAACCAGGTCTTTCTCTCTTTTATCTGTCTGCATCACCAATTTGGCATTCATTAACGAACCATAAGATTTGTGTTTTGTTTTCGCCTTTTTTTCCAGCAAACCAGCTCTCTTTTATCTGCATCAGCAATGGCATGCATTAGATTTATTATTTGCTTTTGTTATGATACAATTCCTAATTGTTGAAATCCTACATCAACTAGACACATACCCATGCTCTTATACCATGTTAAGATGTGTGGAAGGCTTCACATATATACCTGTTTTGATGGGGCTGATATGGGATTCCAACACTGACATATAAATGAAATAAAATGAAAATGTAATTTACCAGAGTGTTGCCGCGGTGGTGTTTGGAGAAGGGTCACAGCAGTCGAGATTGTATCCATTAACAAAGAGAAGATCAGAAGGTGCCATTCCAATTGCAGGAAGCTACAGGCTTATTGATGCAGTCATAAGTAATTGCATCAATAGCAATATAACAAAGATATATGCCCTTACACAGTTTAATTCCACTTCATTAAACTCCCATCTCTCTAGAGCATATTCTGGTGGATTACTAGCAAATCAAGAATTTCTAGAAGTCATCGCAGCTTATCAGAGTCCAGAAGACAATAATTGGTTCCAGGTTCTCCATTAGTCACATTTTAACACTACATTTGCATACATACGTATTTTACAAAACCAAACGAAAAACATAGTATATCCCACTCGAAGGTAGGTTCTGAGGGGTAAGATGTCTTATCTCTGTTCCAAGAGACAGAATACCCCTTATCATACATAAATATTATCCAAACATGTTTGTAGCAATTTGGGATTTTTTTATATATGTAGGGAACTGCAGATGCTATGAGAAGATGTTTATGGGTATTAGAACAGCATCCAGCAGTCGAATTTTTGGTCCTTCCAGGTCACCATCTTTACAAGATGGATTATCAGAAACTTATAGAAGCACACAGGAAGAATAGGGCCGATATAACAGTTGCTGTCTTGGATAGCGTGAGCGATCAGAATACAGGTTTTGGTAGTTTCACATTAGATTCTGAAAACCGCGTTATTTTGTTCCGAGAGGAACCAGAATTGATGCTGTTATCAGTTAAGTGGCATACATTCAACAGGTAATTTTAGGTCATTGTTCTTGATAGAATATGATTCTTAAAGAAGATCAGATTGATCTCTTTTTCAGGTTCAAGGCTCAAAGTTTAACGATGGTTTTCATAAAAAGTTTTCTGGTATGGGGATTTATGTCATGAATAGACATGTCATGATAAAGCTTTTAAAAGAATCTTTCCCTAAAGCCAACGATTTGAAGTATGAAGTAATACCAGGTGCAATATCCTTAGGATTGAAGGTCAGTCTTGCTTGGATTCTTTTACTATTTCTAATAAACAAATCACAATAAAAAGCTTTTTAAAAGAACCTTATATTTGATGTAAATATAGGTTCATGCTTACCGGTTTGATGGATATTGGGAAGACATGAGAAGCATTGAAGCATATTATCATGCAAATATGGAAAGCGCAAAGAAAACAAACATGAAATATAAGTCGGTATTTCTGAAACCTGAAAAGAATGTAAAAATCAGAGAGCGAAAAAAACTAACTACATACTTCACCTCTTGGTAGCAGCTTCTATGATAGAGAGTTTCCAGTCTACACTCTGCCAAGACATCTGCCTCCATCTCTAGTAACCGAGGCTGTCATCACAGATAGCGTCATTGGTGATGGCTGCATTCTAAATGTATGAAACTTCCATCGAATAGAGAATGTGTGGGTGTGTCCATATACATAAATAAATTTTTATATATGGAGAGAGAGAGACTCAGGTTCAGGGAAAACCATAAAAACAATGGAGAACTTAGAAATACCCGAATAATTATTCATTTGTAAGATGTGCACATGTGCATAAAAGTAACTGAAAATTTTTCCTGGCTTCTATGCACATGTGCATACCAAACAAATTGCTTTTTATGCACATGTGCATACGGTATAGATGAATGGTTATTAGAGTGTGCTCAGTTTTCCATTTTTTGCGGTTTTGCCCTGAACCCAACCCTATTTCTTCTTATTCATGCAATATTTCATGGTTCTTTAAAAAGTAGAGATGCAGCATCAGAAATGCAGTCATTGGGCCAAGAACGAGGGTTGGAGATGGAGCTGTAATAGAAGATTCAGTAATCATGGGATCTGATATCTATCAGGTAAATGATAATCAGCTTTACCAAGATTTTCTTCCTTAAAAGCTAAAAACTTACTGTCGGTCCTTTTGTTTTCTAATTTCGCATGCCAACAGAGCGTACTTGAGCAGAACATTTGTGGCACACACACAAAGCAAGCGAGTGTTCCAATTGGTGTCGGGGAAGGTTCTTACATAAAGAAAGCTATAATAGACAAGAATGCGAAAATTGGCAAAAATGTTAAGGTATTTCTCACCAAGATACATAAACACACAGGCTATTTGAAAATTTAGTAAGACCATTTATTCTGTTCTTAACACAAAAGAACATGTATGCTTTGTTGTCATGTAGATCATAAACAGGGACAGCGTGCTGGAAGGGAATAACGAAACTGATGGATACATCATTACAGCAGGCATAATTGTTGTTGTGCGAGGTGCAGTGTTCCCAGACGATAGCATCTTATGACATCAACGAACAGAAATCAATCATAAAAGACTTCTTTGATCCCCATCAAAAAATACCAAAATTGCTTCACAGACTTGAAGATTTATGGCTGCGGGAAACTAAAGGACAAACCTCAGATGATGCATATGCTGCTGGGAATTTGATGGATTTAAGGAGATTAATGCTGAGATTTCAGGAATAGGTATAGGAATAGCTTTGGATATTGTGAATTTGACTAAGAAGAAACTGGGTTTTTTCATTAATGAAATTACTCGAGTGTTCTGTAAAGAGAGCACATAAATGTGATTTAGTAACATGATCAATTTATACAACACACATTTACTCGATATTTAACATGACTTTGCTGAGGGAATACCATCCAATGCTTTAAAAAGCTAACAGCAATCCACTTTTGGATCATCTTGACTGTAAAAAAGCATATTGGGATATAAGTATTTAACATCAAGACCATGGTATATCTGACACCAAATTTAGGGGACACTTTTGTATTTGAACAAAATAACAACCACTATAGCACCGTGTACCATCAGAAACTCAAGGTTGCTATGGCCATGCCGTTTCTTGTTCCATCTATCAATGTATTATTATATATAACATTTTCTTATAAGTAGAAAAATTAACTGGTACAAAAGGAGTATGAGAACCATGACAACATATAATGATGTTCATCCTCTGAAAATCTGAACTTCTTATATCAGGATACATCTTCTTTGACATTATGTAATGGAGAAATGTGAAAATGAAGACGGAAACATTTGGCACTTTTGTATCTGCATTTTAACCAAATTATATTACAGAACTTACTTATGCATAAACAATTGGATGAAAGAATGTGCTGCTGTGAATGAAAGCTTTTCCTCCCTTAGAGTTTGCTGACTTGATTAAATCTGAATTCACAAGTCCCACAAACGAGTATTGTGGCGGAACACGGTTTTCGTTAAACTAAAACCGACAGTCTCTTGTTCCATTGATGGAATACCTAAATAAAAAAACCCACTTTAGGACTACAGCTTCTCATGCTGATGCAGTTCAGAGTGTAATTGCCACTTAGTCACTTACAACCCAGGGAAGCCTAAAAAGTCGATAAAAAAACAGGAGATGTGCTACTATTTGGAAACATATATATAGGGGACATTTCATTTACAAACCACCCAATTCTATCAAACTATACAAACCAATCTTCGTCGTCCATCTAGAGTCATGATCATAATGAATGAACCTTATCATCTTCCATATATATCTCAATCATAATTAATGAATCATGATAAATGTCCATAAATATCTCTATTGTTTCCTAATATCATGGTTTGTATAGTTTGATAGAATTAGATGGTTTGTAAATATATTATTCATTTCATTGACATTGAAAATGTCTGCAAAGATTCTTGTACATGGAAATTGAGTGGTATGATCCAGAGGCAAAAATCTACAAGGAAATCAAGCAACTATCAACAATATGGATTAAAACCAAATCAAACTAGCCCATTATATCCCACCCGTTCGCTGACCATGTACGGTTAAAAAGTAACTGAACTACTTATGGCATCTCACATTAGTAGGTTTCCACCCATGTGACGTAAATTTATATGGAGCTTTGTCATGATGCTAAGAGCTTTGTCTCAAATGTAAATATATGGACCTGGACAACAATTAAATCTACAGTAAAAAGAAAAATAAAGATTCATTGCATCCTTGAAAACTAGGTGGCAAATATAATTAGATATTTAGACAAGGAGGGGTCATTTATCATCTCACGAAAGGGGCATATGAAACATTCGCATGTACTAGAAATCTTGATCAAGCAAAAGAGAACATCATCCAACAGAATGCTGTATATATCTGGAAATATTAAGTAGCAAACTACCTGACAGTGAATTTCTTCTTTTTTCTTGATCAATTTTCGGGTCGTAGGTACAAGAACCATTGTTTCTGCAACCTTAAGTCACAAGAAAATTGACACAATACATTGTTTGTATTACACTATTACACTATACTAGAACAACAGGCTTTATGGTGATCACCATTTTTGGAATGGAAATGATGGTGATCGCAGCCTAACTAGAATTCACTTTACCAAATTCTAGAAAATCAGATGCAAATCTACAACACCCGCAAAATCTACCCTCATTCTTTTGCATAGAAAAAAAAAACATCTGAACAGTTAAAAGTAATCTCTCATCAAGAAGAAACTCTCTCTTTAAAAAACCAAGAACATCGTGAGCTTGATGGTAACATGGATAGTGGATATACATTTAACCTAGCAACCATAACTTCTGCTGTTCATGTTTAATTCAAATGCTGAAAGAAGTGTAGTAAATTCATAAAAGTAGAAAATCAAAATTGCTAGTTCTTAAGGTCACGAAACAAGAAAGTGTATTAGTGTTTTCAAAGAAAGGGGAAATTCAATCCAAGATCCTAAAACATTGAGGTAGCGCTCGGGAGCATGGAATTTGAATAAACATTGAATTAAGCTGCAATTTTGCTTACGACTATGAACCATGAGATCGAATTTTCAACGATGCATCAATATCAAAATCTATATATAACATGGTAAAATAAAATCAAAATCAGCTCAGAATTTCCAATCGGAGACGAGGCGATGCAGATCTGTATCGTGTTTTCTTTTCCAAATACCTGAACGGATCAAAACACCAGGTCTTACACCACCAACACCTCCATGAGCAAATCAAACTCTAATTTGACATTGGGATTTGGGTGGCAGAAACTTTTAACCGAACTGAAGATTCAGAAAGTTTGTGGTATTTTTCTGAATTTTAGAAAACTTGTGGGGGCTTTCTTGTGATGAGCAGAAACTTCAGGGGTCTTCCTCCAATTATTTTTGACTCATAACTCAAATTGCCATATTTTTTTAAGTTATTTATTTTTTAAAATCTAAATACAGAAAACTTTAAAGATATGAACGGACACAGAAATCTTAAAGAGACATGAATGCACAAACAAGAAAATCAAGGAACGTCTTTTAGAAGAGAACTAGGTCATATTTCAAGAGAATACTAGTAAATTATAGGTTTGTTCCACTTTGTTTTATTGGGGTGGGTGGAACACACCTTTTCCAAGTTGTTTCACTATGCTATTGTTTGTTTCACATAAAAGTCATGTCAAACATGGATTAATGAGTTTTAGGTGGCGTTTGGTTCGCAGATTCTGGAGGAATCTGAAGGAATTGGAATGTTGAATTCCTTTGACCAGATTCATTTCCTTCGTTTGGTTCATTCTTTTCGACGGAAGGAATCTTTAGATTCCTATGAATTCCATGGATAAAGGATTTTAACATTCCTTAGCAACTACATGGTATTTTGATGGAATGGAATCTCTATCTTCATTATACCAAATATGCCCTTAACCTAATATATTATAATCTCATTAAACTCAATATGACCATCGTCGACCACCTCTCGACCACTATTGATCTGAACCACTGCCGACCACCACCACCGACTACCACCGATCTAAACCACCACCGACCACCACCACCACCAATCTGAACCACCGTCGACCACCACCACCGATCTGAACCACCGCCGACCACCACCAACCTGAACCACCGCCGACTACCACCGATCTGAACCACCACCGCCGACCATCATCACCAACTACCATCGATCTGAACCACCACCGACCACCACCACCGACCACCACCACCGTCAACTACCACCGATTTGAACCACCGCCGACCACCATTGATCTGAACCATCGTCGACTACCACCGATCCAAACCACCGCCGATCTGAGCCATCACTGATCTGATTCACCGTTAATCTGAACCACCGCCGATAACCACCATCTGAACCACCATGGACCACCACCGATCTAAACCACACTGACCACCACCACCACCGATCTGAACCATCGTCGACCACCGCCGACTACCACCAATCTGAACCACCGTCGACCACTACCACCGACTACCACCGATCTGAGCCACCACTGATCTGATTCACCGTCAATCTGAACCTCCAACGATAACCGCCATCTGAACCACCGTGGACCACCACCGATCTGAACCACTGTCGACCATCGTCATATGAACCACCACGGACCACCATCGATCTGAACCACCTCCAACTACTACCGATCTAAAGCACTGTCGATCTAAACCACCATTGACCATCACTGATATGATCCATCGCCAATTTGAACCACATCTGACCATCGTCACCTGAACCACAACGGACCACCATCGATCTATATCACTGCCAACCACTGACGACTACCATTGATCTGAATCACCGTCGGACACCGCTGACCACCATTGATTTGAACAACCACCACCGCCACCGCCTATTTGAACCACCGCTGACCACCTCCATCTGAACCACTGCGGATCACCATCGGTCTGAATCACTGCGGACCACCACCATCTGAACCACTATGGACCACCATCAATCTGAACCACCATCGATTTAGTAACGTCGTTTGGCTTATGATTATATTTGGGTTGTGTATTTTATATTGTTTTACATATTAAATAATTATTTTATTAAAGTATTTTTAGTTTTAAAAAATTAATTTTCAAAAAACGACATTTTGGTCATTTACCAAAATTTTATTCCAATTCTAAAGCTACATTCTGTGAACCAAACAAAAAGATTCCAATTCCTTAACAGATTCCATTTCAATGTCTGCCAACCAAACAGGTGGTCAAACCTGACAACATTTCATTCCAATTCCTTCAAAGTCAAATTCCTTTAACAGATTCCATTCCATCCAAAAACATTCTGCGAACCAAACACCACCTTATTTTATTAATTATGTCATATCATGTTCAGTGTACCTAAAAACATCATTACTGATCTATTTGAAATAGTAGTGTAGATGTAGATAGTAACTTATTAGAGTAATTTATATTCTTGGTCCTTATGATTTGAGGTTTGTTTGACTAAGGTCCCTAAAACGCATTTATTACACTCTGGGTACCTATGGTATGCAAAAATGCACGCTCCAAGTCCCTCAAGCTAACGAATTTAGTTAGCCTGGTTAAGTATAAGGATATTTTTGTCTTTTTTACAATCTCTTATCCTTTTCCTAATAAAAGATAAAAAAAACAAATATCTAATTACTTTATTATTACTATTATTATATATAATAAAATAATACATATAAATATATGTACACACATACATAAAAGCCAGCCACACACCTGCACTTCACGTTTTCACCGTCTTCCTCATGTTGACCCCCATCTACGAGCTCCCCCTACACTATATGTCTCCACAACCAGTTTTCCTCCATTCATTGATGCCCCTCCCATGACTCCCCCTCCCCCTTATTACTCCCTTTACATCAACGCAAAATACACATACACAACACAGAGGTTAAACCCACATACCACAAGAAACAAGGGTTTTAGCAACGAGTTTTATCGTCACTAAAAGTCCATGTATCCTCATAAACAATATATAGAGACGACATTTTGTCRTTGTAGCTTGTGGATGAAACTGTTCAAAGGCCCGTCCCTGAAACTCACTTTTCTTGCAGTAACATCGTACACACATACACCTGCAATATACATTAACAMACGACTGCAAATTTTATCCTTCCCCTCTCTTCCATGTTGGTTGGTGTATATGTATAAAAGTTGTTTTATGTGTTAAAAAAAGTAGAGAATGGTTG